GGGCTTAGGGCTTTGGGGTTGGGGGTTTGCAGCTTAGGGTTTTGGGCTTAGGATTTTGGGTGTAGGTTTTGGGGTTTGCGGTTTAAGGTTTAGGAATGTAGGGTTTTGGGCTCTGGCGTTGGGGGCTTAGGGCTTCGGGTTTAGGGTTTAGGCAGGAGCTGAGCGAGTGCGGATTTAGAATTCAGGGCTTGGAGGCTGTTGAGTTTCGCGCGAAAGGCTTGGGAGCGTTCCTTGCACAACTCCCCTTTGAAAGGCGCCTCGTTGATTTAGTACTAGTGGTATACTATAGAAGTATAAGATTGATAGTAGTATCGATATTAGTATTCGTGTTAGTATTGAGATTAGTATTAGTATTGATATTGGTATTCGTCTTCGTATCAATATAGGTATGAGGAATTAACCCCGGGAGCAAGGTTTGGGTACTGTATGATATACTTAATGTATAAAGGGACTAAGAGGGAACTATAACTGATTGGCATTCCGACCGCTATACCACTTTGGGGCATCCTGTGGGAGATCTCAGTGGACTTATGTGGACTTGCCCATGCCCATGTTGGAGGGTGTGTCGGATGGCTGCGATGGCATAGATGGCATGCTAAGCTGTGGCAGTGTCTCGTAGAACGCCCGGAGAAATTTCGTAGAGAGTCGGACGGTCCCAAACTTGTCTGTAGCACCCTGCAATACTAAGCAGTATTACATCGTAGCTCCCGGTTTGCCAAAGTCTTTACTGCATCGCGAAGCACCACAGGCCATCGTAACAGAGCAAATCGAACGGGTCATACTGCACCTGTAGGCTGTCGCGCAAATGCATTACTGACTGAAGAGCTCTGCCTTCCACGACTGACTACGACTGAACTGCTTGGAGTTCCTAAGCTCTCCGGACCCTAGCCCCTGAACCCTAAACCCCTAAACCCTAAACCCCTAAACCCCTAAACCCTAATTAAACCCTAAACCCAAAAACCCTAAACTCTCTAAACCCAAACCCTAAACCCTAAAACCCTAAACCCAAAAACCCGAAACTCTCTCCTTCTAGCACAGACACCCCGGGCCTCCCCGGCAGAGAGGAAGGCAGCACCTGAGCCAAGTGAAAGGTCTCAGGGCGCTGTCGGTACCCAGAGGTCCCCTTACCCCCTAATGAAGGGTTTAGGGTTTAGGGTTTAGGGCTAAGGGTTAGGGTTTAGGGTTTGGGGTTTGGGGTTTAGGGGTTAGGGTTTACTGTCGGTACTTAGAGGTCCCATTACCCCCTTAATTAAGGAATGTACCTGAGATTATAGGGGGTTTAATACCAAGGTATATCCCTGAATTAATGCTTATACTCGTTGAAGTATGATCTCTACCACCATTCCTCCGAAAGCCGGCCTTCGATAGTCAAGTGGACAGCCTTGCGCCCCTCATAGTCCCGCACGGCCTCACGCTTAGGGTTTGAGGTTTAGAGCCTAGGGTTTGGGGATTAGGGTTTAGGCATTTAAGAGTGAAGACTTTAGGGTTTAGGGTTTAGGCATTTAGGAGTTAAGAACTTAGGGCTTAGGGCTTAAAGTTTAAGGTTTAGGAATTTAGGGTTTAAGAATTTAGGGTTTAGGGTTTATAAGAATTTAGGGTTAGGGTGTAAGGTTTAGGAAATTAGGGTTTAAGAATTTAGGGTTTAGGGTTTAAGGTTTAGGAATTTAGGGTTTAGGATGGTTCAGGGTTGCCCAAGGTCAGGGCCTTCGGCCGCGCCCAGCCCAAGCCGCGCAGGGCCGCGAAGACGCTCTGCAGCTGGGCCACCTCGGGTAGTCAACCTTTAAGGGTTTAAGGTTTAGGGTTTAGGGTTTAGGGTTTCATGATTTTGTACCCTGGGTCTTGCACTTTTGTATAAAGTACGAGCTGTATCTGTTACAATCTGTTATTACAATACTATACTACATGGAGGTTTCCGAAAATAGGGGACCCTAATATAGTACCCTAAATAATAGGATCCTTAACATAAGGACCCCAAAATATGGTACCCCTGATTCTCGGAAACTCCCACATATCATCTGTCTGAAAGCTCCACAAGAATGGGCCCCCTATAAAGCAAAACGCACTGTGCTCCGCCACCTCGCAGACCACGGCGCCAACGGGGCAGCCAAGCCGAGGGTCGCGAAACGCCGCAAGGGCCTCAGGGCTTGGGGTCCCATAACCGACAAGACCTACCTTTTCAAGGAACTATCTATCTATCTATCTGTCTATCTATCTGTCTATCTATCTATCTATCTATAAATATATATATATATATACATATATAGAAACCATAATAAGGAACCCTAAGAAGGTAGGCCTTTCCGGCTACGGGCAGGGTTTATTTATTTAGGGTTCAGTGCTTAGGATTTGGGCTTAGGATTTAGTTTAGGTTTTAGGGTTCAGCGTTCAGGATTCAGGATTGAAAGCTTAAGTTCTTAGGGTCTAGGGTTTAGTTCAAGGATTCGACTTGGGGGGTTCCGAAAATAGGGGACCCTAATATAGCACCCTAAATAATGGGATCCTTATTATAAGGACCCCAAAATAAGGCCCTAAACCCTAAACCCTAAACCCTAAACCCTAATTTTCGGAAACTCCCACTTGAGGATCCGGGAGGCCTCTTCACCGCAGTCGGAAGCCGACGCCGACTCCTCAGCGTGGAGGGTTTAGGGTTTAGGGTTTGAGAGTGGGCTGTCATGGGGCCTGGGTTTTTGCATTGCATGTTTTTTGTTTTTTGACACAAGGCTACGCACCTATGCATGTATATCTGTATATATAAATAGATATGTACATATTAGTTTGATAGGTACATACACATGACTAGACATGCATATGCATTGACTAATTGTGGTAGACTGTACACAGCACACACACACACACACCTGGCCACTTTCGAGCGAAATGAAACAACACAAAGTATTTCATGCATCGTTCTGCTTGTTACATAAGTTGGACTCCCCAAAATCTCTGGCGAAGTTTTGCCTGCCGTGTTCTGATTTTCTTATGTTTTGAGTTGGCGCGTGTCCGTGAATTTCCACTTGAATCTCAATTTGTAGCATTGCAGTATGACCTACCTATGCGGGGTTTCACAACACAACCATACAGATAATCACAGGACACAGGACTGTAATCAATTCCTGCAAACTGGGAACATGGACATACATATGGTTTGTGTAGCGCCGTAGCACATACTGTATCAAGGGTGTAGATTGTCTTTATGTACATAAATCAGTGAGTAGTGTGTATGCAGCTCACTTTAGTTTCTGTTGTAATGCGGTATTACTTTTTGGAACCTAGGAAGGGTTTCACAGCTTTACATAGCTACAATGGCACTGGCACGACTGTATATGTAAGCATGGGTGTGTGTGTGTACTTTTACACATACAGACATACAAACATACCTGCATACATACATACATGCAGTACGTAAATGTCACATAAGCTAACCTACGCAATTCCTCAGCAAACTGCTGTAATGTTGGCATTAGTTATGTCGGATATTGGCAGAATCTAGCTTCTATTCTAAGATGAACCTTTGTTTATTGATTTATTGATGGAATATCAAGACAAGGATCCCAGGAATCCTTCTGGTCCAGACTGCTGTATGCCTTCCATCCTTACGACTATCGTTGATGTACATCCCGACGGTCTTATCACAGCCTGGACCTTTGAACCATAAGTAGATACAACGCGTCTAAAGCAGCTCACGTGCCCCTGAACAAACCATGCCATATGTTCCTAAACAGTGACGGTCCGGGAAGGGTGTTAACACACACAAATTGTCCACAAATCATAAACTCATACACTAAAACGCAGAAATCACAGTAGATACCAGCTTTTTCACAACATCAGCGCACGCGAAAAATACAACAACGATTGGGATTGAGGGTTGGGGATGGGGATGCTACACAAACAAAACACAAAAGGAGACACGAAAGGATGATGAAGTCGTCGATGGCGTATCTGCTGTCAGGCGAGGGGAG